GTGTTGACCAGGATGGTCTCGATCTCTTGACCTCGTGATCCACCCGCCTCGGCCTCCCAAAGTGCTGGGATTACAGGCGTGAGCCACCGCGCCCGGCCTCCATTTGTTTAATATATATGTTTGCGTGTATTTTTCAGGGAGTGTTGACATTTAGGGATGTGGCCATAGAACTATCTCGGAAGGAGTGGCAATGCCTGGACACTGCACAGCAGAATTTGTATAGAACTGTGATGTTGGAGAATTACAGAAACCTGGTCTTCCTGGGTGAGCATGACTTTAATATGCAATTTAGTAATATATCCTATAAGTTTCTTTTCTTTTTTTTTATCTCTCTCTTTGTTTTCTTTCTTTGTTTCTTTCTTTTTTGTAGAATGATTTTTGGTAATTTTTGCTTTCAGATCTGTTAAAAAAAAACTGCAAGGTTTGTCTAATAAAAAAGAATTTTAGGATGTTTAATTTTGATCTGAACTTTCCACATTCCTGAGCTAATCTGTGTCCTTCACTCTCAATTAGTGTCAAGTTTAGAAATGTAGTGGCGTAACATTCTGTTTATTACATCTTAAAATTTGATTGCCACTACTTTTTGATTTAGTAGTACCAGGTAGTGAAATTACAAACTTACAATATTAAAATGTGTTTTAAAATATTTTGTTACATTCTTTTTACTGAGCACACTACTAAGTTGGTGTTGGAGACTATGAACAAGATTCATGAAATGTTTAATAAAACAGGTATTGCTGCTTCTAAGCCAGACCTGATCACCTGTCTAGAGCAAGGAAAGGAGCCTTGGAATGTGAAGAGACATGAAATGGTAGCCGAGTCCCCAGGTAGGTGAAAGTGAAAGTGAGTACAACAGAAGCCTCATAGAAACATCTCCTGTCTTATCTTTTTAAAATCTCTAAGATTTTACTTTTCCTTCAGGGATCTTCCTTTGCATTTAAAGTGACAAGTAAAGTTCTCTTCATGGCGCACAAGAGACTGCAAAATCCGATTGCTCTCTCATTTTTTTTGAAAATCAGATTTCTGCATAATTTGGAGAAGCTTTATATGTTAAACTGCTTTTTAAGCTCCTTTTTACATTATGTCTAAAATGTGTGAGAGTCGTGGTTACTGTTCTATTATTGTTATTATTACCTTTTTGAGATGGAGTTTTGCTCTTGTAGCCCAGGCTGGAGTGGAGTGGTGGGATCTCAGCTCATCACAACCTCTGCCTTCTGGGTTCAAGCAATTCTGCTGCCTCAGGCTCCCAGTTAGCTGGAATTACAGGTGCCCGCCACCACACCAGGCTAATTTTTGTATTTTTAGTAGAGACGGGGTTTCCTCATGTTGGTCAGGTTGGTCTCAAACTCCCAACCTCAGGTGATTCGCCCCCTGCCTCGGCCTCCCAAATTGCTGGGTTACAGGTGTGAGCTACTGAGCCCGGACCTCATTATTTTTGTATTGCTAATTTTTCTGCCTTTTTCTTTTATAACCTTGAAGTATAGTTTGAAATTATAAATTATGATGTTCTGCTTTGTTGTTTGTTTTTCAAGATTGCTTTGGCTATTTAAAATTTATTGTAGTTCTAAGTGAATTTTAGAATTACATTTTCTGTTACTGTAGAAAATATTGAAATTTTGATAGAGAGTTTATTAAATCTAAAAATCACTATAGATAATATGGCACTTTAACAATAGTCTTTCAACCAACAGACATAAAATGTTTTTATATTGATTTTTATCATTTCAGTTTTTTTAATTGATGTATCTTTTATTTGAAAGATATTTAAGCTCCTTGGTTATATTTGTTCTTCAGAATATATTATTTTAGTGCTATTGTAAGTAAGATTGCTTCCTTTCTGTATTTTATCAGATTGTTTAAAGTGTATGGAAACATAACTTATACTTGTATGTTAATTTTCTATTTTACTAATTGAATGAGTGTAATTATTACTTTAACTAGGTTTTAATGTAATGTTTATGTTTTTATATAAGATCAAATGATCTACAAAAAGCAACTTTTTAATTATTTGTCTTTAATTTCAATAACCCAAAATATTTTTTGACTAATTTTTATTGCACACACTTCCAATGCTATGTTCAGACAGAAGCATTGAGAATAGGCACAGTATACTTTTGCAGTGGTGTCTGTGAATTTGAAGGAGCAAACACTTCTTCAACTTTCTATAAACTGTTTTCAGAAGGTAAAGACCTTTTGTTGAGCCCCCAGGGTGATGGGATGCCCTATGGCTTTGTAGTGGAGAGTGGTTTTAGCTTGATTACAAAGGCTGCTGGGTCTGCATTAGGGTTCATCTTTAGTTGGCTTGTTACAAGGGGATTGGATAGTTGTAATTCCCATTTAATTTTTGGACAGACTGAATATTCTTCAGGCCTTTGCTCTGTTTGGCAGACTGTAGGTCAGGTTTCCTCACCTGGGTCTTCATATGGTAGGCTTTATGTTAAGATGTAGATGAGCTTGGCTTTCACTGAGTACCAGAAAGGATTTCCCAAGGCCACTGTGGGTTTCTACATAGGCAGAACTTGCCATGCACTGTGGCTCAGGGAGCTGAAACTGAGTCATGGAACTGCTTCATGGACCACAGTGAGGGCCAACGTCTTCAGGCCTGACAGCATGGCCATAAATGGGTGTCTTCCTCCAGGCCTCTGGAAGGGTGGGATCTTTCCCAGACTGTGGCTGGGAGGAGTTTGGGATTATTACAGGGTAAGTTCAGAATTCTCCGTGGGACCAAGTTCAGTGGGCCATTTTCTGGTCTATAGCCAGGAACAGGGGTCCTAGAATTTGCCACCTGAATCAAAGCCTGTCTTCTGATAAGAATGTTCCTCCATCTTGGGTATTAGCAAAGTTGTACAACTTCCTCCCTGGACCTTAAAGCTCTTTTAAGGGCACTTATTTTGGAGATTGGGTCTTTGTGCATAACCCAGGCTGGTCTTGAAATCCTAGCATGAAGCAGTTCTGTGACTCACTGTACCATGTAGCTGTCATTACAATTTGAGCCATGATTCCTGTTTCTCTCATAAAGGCATTTTTGTTAGGGATGGCTGATGAATTTTCTTGCTGTCAGATAATAGGCAAATAGGGCACCTTTTATTTTCCCATCTTAGTGATGTCACTCTCCCTGGACGTTTTTACTTTATATTTTCTATTTTGATTTTGTCTGTAATTTTAGATTTAGACATTTATGACAATATACTAGAATTGACATTTATGCCTGAAGTGAATTAGATAATTAGTAGGCAGGCAAAAAGTAAATGTAGGCAGCTAAATAAAGATGATAAGATTTTCACTCATTTTTGTCAGCCTATATCTAAAATGAAACATAAATCATTACCAAATATTTGTTTTATATCTCAGAGGCTCTGACAGTATTCTGCAAAATCGATATGTATTTTCTTTATTTCGCGATGTAAGGCTATTGTTTGCTTCTAAAGTTAGATTACAGAAGTTTTATTTTTTGTAAGAATAGCATGTGTTTAAAACTTAAAAATTATCTCATTTAAATGCTTATTTATCAAAAGTTTGTTGTTAGAATCTTCTGTTTATGATTATATGGCATTTTATATGAAACTTTACTGCATTACAGTGGATGCCAATGATTCAAAATAGTCATCTTCAATGAGTTCACAGTTGCAGTAAGCTATTGTAGTTATCCACACAGATTCTTTGTAATGCTTCATCAATGTTGCATTCCAGATTTTATGAGTAAACATTTATTGCTTTGCAATTCCATATTAGCATGTTTTCTCAGTGTAGGTTTTTTAACATAACTTTATTGTGTTTGTTTGTTTTACAATTTTAGACAATTTGCAAGTCTGTGTATACCCGTAGGTAGGTGTGGGGTTTAATTAAGAGATAAATCAACCATATGTCTGTTACAATCTGATTATGTATGCCTATATGGCTAATCTTGTATTTATGTTTTCTTTTTTTTTTTTTTTTTTGAGACGGAGTTTCACTCATGTTTCCCAGGCTGGAGTGCAATGGCGCGATCTCGGCTCACCGCAACCTCCGCCTCCTGGGTTCAGGCAATTCTCCTGCCTCAACCTCCTGAGTAGCTGGGATTACAGGCACGCACCACCATGCCCAGCTAATTTTTTGTATTTTTAGTAGAGACGGGGTTTCACCATGTTGACCAGGATGGTCTCGATCTCTTGACCTCGTGATCCACCTGCCTCTGCCTCCCAAAGTGCTGGGATTACAGGCTTGAGCCACCATGCCCGGCCTGTATTTATGTTTTCTTTGCTGATTTTTAATGATTGCTTTATCTTGTCTAAATGAGTAGTGATGGAAATAGTCTGATTTTCACCTTGTATTTAATAATAAAGATATATTTTCTTTGTGTGAGAGAAACAGTTCTGTGACTTGAAGGTAATTTTTGGAAAGATGTATAATTCTTTAAAATTTACCATCTTCAATCTGTTTAAGTGTACCTTTCATGGCCAGTGATGGTGGTGGTTTACATTTAATCCCCTGATTTTGGGAGGCCATAGCGGGAAGATTGCGTGAGTCCAAAAGCTTGAGAACAGCCTGAGAGACATATGGAGACCTCATCTCTATAAAACATTTTAAAAGTTAGCCAGACATAGTAGTACGATCCTGCCTACTTGGGGGATTAAGGAGGGAGGATTATTTGAACCTGAAAGTATGAGGCTGCAGTGAGCCATAATTATGTCATGGACTCCAGCTTGGGTGATAGAGTGAGACCCTGACTCAAAAACAGTCTCCATTTCAGGCATGTTAAGTATATTTACATTGTTTTATCATAGATTTCTGAAAATTTTGTCATACACATTAAACAACTACCATTTTTTCCCATTTCTTGGCACTTTTCTCTTTCTAAGAGTAACTGCTTTATATATCTCATAACGTCTCTGTGGCTGGCTCATTTTATTTTGCATAATATCATCAAGATTTCCCTTTATAGTTAGAAAACTTTCTGCTGTTTTGCAAACTGAGTAAATATTTTTGTATTTTTATATTTTAAATTATATCTACTGAACTATTTGGTGACAGAAATTTGCATTGCTTTTACCTATTGGCTTTCAATAACAATGGTAAGATAATTATGGGTATGCAAGGGACTCTTGTTTCTATTGCCATATATGTCAGAGTTTTCATATATGTGCTGCATCCTATTGCATTTATTATTATTATTATTTTATTTTTTGAGATGCAGTCTAACTCTGTCACCCTGGCAGGAGTGCAATGGATGGCTCAGCTCACCACAATCTCCACCTCCTGGATTCAAGCCATTCTCCTGCCTCAACCTCCTGAGTAGCTGGGATAACAAGCATCTGCCACCATGCCTGGCTAATTTGTGCATTTTTAGTAGGGAAAAGGGTTCACTATGTTGGTGAGGCTGGTTTTGAACTGCTGACCTCATGATCCAGCCTCCTTAGCCTCCCAAAGTACTGGGATTACAGGTGTGAGCCACCGCGCCCGGACCATTCTATTTTATTAGTCTACTTTTTCACCTTCATACTCATATCAAATTGTTTTAATTCTCTATCTTTCTAATGTGTTTTGAAATCAGGAAATATAATGCCCCCAACATTGTTTTGTTTTCTTTTTAATATTTTGTCTGTAGAGATTCTATACACTCAGGATTGCTGTTTGTATTTCTTACAAAATGCAATGAAAAATTTGAAAAACTTTGCATTAAATCTGTTCGTTGCAGCCAGGTGTGGTGGCTCACAAGTGTAATCCCAGCACTCTGGGATGCTGAGTTGGGTAGATTATGAAGTCAGGGGTTCAAGACAAGCCTGACAAACATTATGAAACCCCGTCTCTACATAAAAATACAAAAATTAGTCAGGCATGATGGTGCACACATGTAACCCAGCTACTTGGGAGGCTGAGGCAGAAGAATTGTTTGAAGCCAGGAGGTGAAGGATGTGGTGAGCTGAGAGCCCACCAGTGCACTCTAGGCTGGGTGACAGAGTGAGACTGCATGTCAAAAAGAAAAAAAAGAAATCTGTAGATTGCACTGACAAAGATGAACATCATTACAATATTACCTAGGATTACAGTATAGCTAGTGTTACAGGGACTTACCACAATGCCTGGTCAATTTTTGTGTTTTTAGTAGAGACTGGGGTTTCACCATGTTGGTGAGTTGAGTCTTGAACTCCTGACCTCAAGTGATTCACCCGCCTCCACCTCCCAACCTGCTGGGATTACAGGCATGAGCAACTGCACCTGACGTAAATTTGTAAGTTTTAATGTCCTTTTTTGTCTCCTTGGAATTTTGACTTGAAGTACATTTTTAAAATGTGACCATTTTTGACTTAAGATGTATAATCTTGCATTTACCTTGCATAATATTATTTTGATTTCCTCTGCTCTCATGTGATTAATATTTCCATTAAATGTCTACTTCCATCTTACCCTTTTCTCTCTCTGTGTGTGTGTGTGTGTGTGTGTGTGTGTGTGTGTGTGTGTTTAATCAGTTGATCTCAGTTGACTTTTGTGGATAAAAAGGGGATCTTGGTTTTTCAACAGTTAGTAAATTTATGTATTGAAATTATGTCTCTTAATTTTTTTTTTTTTTTTGAGACTGAGTTTCGCTGTTGTTGCCCAGACTGGAGTGCAATGGCACGATCTCGGCTCACCGCAACCTCTGCCTCCTGGGTTCAAGCAATTCTCTGGCCTCAGCCTCCTGAGTAGCTGGGACTACCGGCACGTACCATCATGCCCAGCTAATTTTTGTATTTTTAGTAGAGATGAGGTTTTACCTTGTTGACGAGGATGGTCTCGATCTCTTGACCTCGTGATCCACCCACCTCGGCCTCCCAAAGTGCTGGGATTACAGGCTTGAGCCACCGCGCCCGGCCATGTCTCTTAATTTCTAAGTTAATTTTATATATGTATTTAATTTTCTGAAAGAGAAAGGCAATGTTATGTTTTAACTATTTTATTGGAATTCTTACATCTTTGTTTTTTCTTTACTCTCTGTATAGTTTTGTGTCTTGATATGATTTTACTTATTTCTAATTTCCTTTTTTGTATCTGTACAGAATTTTTTTTTAATGGTATCTTGGGGCTTACATAAAACCTATATAAAAGTAACCAGCATATTTTTATTTTTTTACAAAATAAATTTCAGTTGAATAAAAAAAAAAACTTTTTTCTTATATCTGCCCTGACATTTGTCGTTGATGTTGGTAATTATGTTTTTACATTGTATATTCATTAATAGATGTTTCTGATTTTTGTGTTTTTATTTTTAAAATATTAGAGAATAATTTGAAATGTTTTCTACATCATTATGTAATGTCACAAGATTGTGTTTTCGTGTATGTGCAAATCTTTCACAAAAAAATAATGTCTATATATTTGATTATGTGCTGTTTTCTCAAATTGCCTTAATTTAAGCAACTGCTTTTAGCGTCTTTTATATGTCAGATGTAAGGAATATGCAGTGCTATATACCTTTTCAGAGTTCAGTTGTTTTAGAAGGTGGTTTTTTGAGATAGAATTTTTCTTTGTCACCAGACTGGAGTGCAGTGGCATGGTTTTGTTCACTGCAGCCTGCAATTCCCAGGTTCAAGTGATTCTCCTGTCTCTGCCACCCACATAGCTGCCATTACAGGCATGTATCTGCATGCTCAACTCATTTTGTATTTTTAGTAGAGACTGGGTTTTACTATGCCTCCCAGACTGGTCTCAAACGTCTGGCCTTAGGTGATCCACCCACCTCAGCTTCCCAAAGTGCTACGATTACAGCTGTGAACCACCACACTCAGCCATTTATGTTTCTTCTTAATAACCAATAAGCACGTTTTACGATTGCTTTATGTCTGCGGTACCACAGTCTTTCTGTTGCTATAGAACTTACCTTCTGTCTCAGCAGACTCAAATTGTCATTTGAAAGAATACCACAATTTCAGAACTTGATGTAATGAGAGACAGCAACCAGTGTCTGTAAAATATTGTATGATTCAGAAATAAAAATATATAAGGCAGAATTTTACTTGTTATTTAAGAAAGAAACCAGCAGTTGGCAATTTATTTCAAGTCACTATGTGATATTGGGAAGCAGGAAGATCTGTGTTGGGTAAATATAAGAAACTTTTGTTCTATGTGGCTCTTTGCATTAAGCTCACCTGGTGCGTAGCACACAATTTATTTTTTTATAAATGTAATTTGGTCTGTATGTCTCTATTACCTTTATATGTCTTTGAAAAAATTTGAGCCTGTAAAATTTTGCTATGCCACCTTGTTATGTAGTTTGTATAATTTTATAGGTAAGACTTGTGTATTAATCTGAGTAGAGTAAGCAGAGCAATTTTTTTTTCTTTCAGTTGCATGTTCTTATTTTGCCCAAGATCTTTGGCCAAAGCAGGGCATAAATAATCATTTCCAAAAAGTGATACTGAGAAGATATAAAAAATGTGGACGTGAAAATTGGCTGCTAAGAAAATGTTGTCAAAGCACGGATGAGTGTAAGGTGCACAAAGAATGTTCCAACGGACTTAATCAGGTTTTGACAACTACGCAGAGCAAAAGATTTCAATGCAACAAATCTGCGAAAGTCTTTCATAAATATTCAAATTCAAACAGATATAAGATAAGACAAAGTGAAAAGGAACCTTTGAAATGTAAGGAATATAAAATGTCATTTTGTACACTTTCACACTTAGCTGAACATAAAAGAATTTATACCAGAGAACGACCCTACAAATTTAAAGAATGTGGTAAAGCCTATAACGAGGCCTCAAGTCTTTTTACGTATAAAAAAATTCATACTGGAGAGAAACCCTACAAATATGAAGAATGTGGACAAACTTTTAACCAGTTCTTACACCTTACTACACATAAGAGAATTCATACTGGAGAGAAACCCCACAAATGTGAGGAATGTGGCAAAGCTTTTAAGTACTTCTCAGACCTTACTAGACATAAGATCATTCATACTGAAGAGAAACCCTACAAATGTGAGGAATGTGGCAAAGCTTTTAACAACTCCTCAACCCTTACTGGACATAAGATCATTCATACTGGAGAGAAACCCTACAAATGTGAGGAATGTGGTAAAGCTTTTAACCATTCCTCAAGCCTTGCTAGACATAAGAGAATTCATACTGGAGAGAAACCTTACAAATGTGAGGAATGTGGCAAAGCTTTTAACCACTCTTCAATCCTTTCTAGACATAAGTTAATTCATACTGAAGAGAAACCCTACAAATGTGAGGAGTGTGGCAAAACTTTTAGCCGGTACTCACAGCTTAGAAGTCATAACATAACTTCTTCTGGAGAGAAACACTACAAATGTGAAGAATGTGGTAAATCTTTTAGGTGCTCCACAACCTTTAGTAAACATAAGAATATTCATACTGGAGAGAAACCCTACAAATGTGAAGAATGTGGCCAATTTTTTAGGTGG